ATACTGAGTAATTAAACAGATGAATCCTTTTCAAATGAGATAACTCATTCTCCTGATGTCAAGAGGCGGTGTAACGTATAATATTGATCCAGCTTGAAAATTGACCCAGGGTTCATTTTTCAACTTTGAATATTGAACTTGGGTGCTTTTTTTCCGTTGAAGATTGAAATTGAAATTTATACATGCGGTCATTTCTCAACAACTTGGTGTTTTTTTCTAAGCCCTGATGATCTCAACGTGAAAAATTGACCCAGTAGTATATTGACTCCAACTACAGGCTTTTGAGCAGTCTTTCAACTGAAAGTTGTTTTACTGTATCTGTATTTCTTAAAAGTTAAGATTATTATATCAGTTTTGAAGACTTTTTCTAGGACAGAATACTTATTTCCAAGGCAACCAAGGACACTGATGTAGTTTCCTTACTCGAATGTTTGGGGGAAAAAACTACGGATTACAAAAATCTATTATGGGGGTGGTGGGTGGAAGAGGAAGACTACAACATTTTTTGGGAGGGGTTAGATCAAATCATGGTCTGATTTTCTTGCTACATTGTATTAGAGGCCACCTTATTTCGAATTCAAGGACAGATTTCCAGGGGGATTCAATGTCATAGCTTGGCTAACTTATTATGAGAATCAAAATACGCTGAAAATCAGGGTTGTGTGTCCTAGCCAAAAATTTCAAAATTAATAAAAAAAAAAAATACAAAGAAAATAGAAAGCAAATAAAAATTAACAAAAAAAAAAAAAAAAAAAAAAAAAAAAAAAAAAAAAAAACCAGCAACAAATAAAACAAACAAACAAAAATCAGAAACTTCATTGGAGTGGAGATAGGTTGGTAATAAACACTTCTGAAGCACCAGCCAATTTCCATCATATATATTTCTTAAAAATTTACACGGGATTCGTTTTACCTTGGAATGTACTATTTCATTACTATAGATTTTATACTCTAAAAGTCCAAAAAAGGGGGCGCCATCCCCCCCCCCCCGCTCGATTCTATACTGAACAAAATAAGTGAATGTCACGGAGTTCGTTGCTTAGCTGTTTGTTGATACATGTACTTAAAAATTCCAAGAAAATTTAAAATCACAAAATCTTACCAAAAATTAAACCGTACGACTTTTCAACATTCTATACCTCCATTACCAACTATAAAGTAAAGTCGAGGCTTTTTGACATCATAGACAGCTCTTCTTCACTAAAAATAAAACTCGTAAATTTACCTACTTGTCAATGGCCATTTGTAAAATTATTTTGTAAAAAAATATTCTGATTCTACCCACAAGTACTCCAAAGTTTAAATTTAAAAGATGCTTGAGTTTATGATTAACAATATCTATGTTGTTTTTGGAGATCAAGTCTTCAAACTATCCATCGGAATTTCGATGGGTATCAATTGCGCTCCTGTGCAGACCTGTGCAGGTTGTGGCCTTCAACTCGACATTTAGATATATATCGACGACCTATTATCAAATAACAATACCGACTTCCATTCGTATGTCAACTCCATATATCCCAGTGGACTTGATATAAAAGAAACCAAGTCCGACAAATCTTTTTCATATTTTGATATTTTAGGTTGCTTTGGTAATCTAACAACCACACTTTTTGTTAAACGGGATGACTTTAATTTTTCTATTCGTTAACTTCCCTCACGTATTTAGCAATATACCTTTAACAACTGCATATAGGGTTTGTGTCTCAAAATTGAATCGAAATTCAAGAGCAGGCTCTACGTACGACCAATGTCGAAAACGAGAAAAGATTTTGAGAAACAAGTTCTTGAAACAAGAATATAAATATTCCCTTCAAAGTCTTTTTTCCCAAGTCCTATGTTCTATATAATGACCTCTGTCAGCAGATACAATTAATCATTAAATCGAATGCTAACTGACGCTTTTCATACTAATTGTTATGTCATGATTTACACCATTAAATTTTCTACTGACTTTTCCGTTTTCCCGATCATGACAAGAAGCAGGTGAGACCGGTCGGCAGAGGATGCTCACTCCTCCATGACATCTGATCCGAGCTCTGATGTTTTTATGACACAGTACAGTTAAGGTGCGCAATGGAAATATCGGCAATTTTTGTGAATAAAAATATATTCTGAATCAGGATGGCGATTATTTTTAGTACTTTATTCATATCCGACAAATGTAATTATGGTTAATAAATAGATATTGAGGACAATCAGATTTTATATTAAGACTTGTCACGTGATGCGGCAGTCAAGTGATTTTAGCACATCTACTTGCAGTCTTGATGTTACCGATAAATTTCACTAGTGCATTGCATAACCAGGTTAAAATACTAAGTTTAGTATATTAATATTTTCAACACACTTTGTAGTTTCTGAAAAGTGCTGCAATCCTATATAGATTCTTCTATTACATTGTTAAAATCATATTTGTATGACAGCATGCTGTATTTTTGGCTGGTCAACGGCATTGAATATATATATAATTAATTCATTTTCAAGATTTCACCAGGGTTGCATCACTTTTCATATACCTTAATACTTCTAAAGTTTTTTTTTTTTTTTTTTTTTTTTTTTTTTTTTTTTTTTTTTATTTGTAAAAGCTTACTATGACCCATTGAGTGTATGCCCGTACACTAGATCGATTTATTAAGACCTTTACATAATCCTCCTATGTACTTGCATATGCATACAAATATACCGCAGTATCAATTAAATAGGATATGTACGGAAAATACATGAATAAAATCATTAAAAAGACATTGCAACCAAGTTAAGGCATCTTAAATATCTGTAAATAATATTTTATTTAATTATAGAATACATTTTTCGTTGTGAAAATATTACTTGATCCGCCTCTCACTGCATACAAACTTCGTCAAGTTTTACGAAATGACGTCACATCGACAAGTGCATCGCGATCAGTGACTTGTCTATACCTCGCTATGTGGGATTTAACTAACGACCAAACAACATGTTATAGTAAGTTTTGATGTAGTTTGATGGTATCCTACAGTTAAAATAGCAGATCATTTCATTGTGGTATTTTAAAGAATTGTTAGTTTTGTATGATGTCATAGTTAACATTTCCCGTAAAACTTAGCCTCCACCCCTTTTTTGTAGCCTTAACTGTGCTGCGGAGTCCGTGTTTGTTCTGCTCCTGATTTGTATTTTTTATAGACTTTTTAAGCTTGATTAGTGTTCTTTATCTCCATATTTGATTTCACAGTTATTAAATCTTTTATGCTTGACTACATTTCATTAAAAAAAAAATCAATTCAAAACATGTATTAAAAATATACACTTGGTGAAAATATCAGCCATGTGCACGCGTTGTTTTTCTTTTATTAGAAAGGGTTTGTCCTCCATCTTACCGCACAACCCTCGTATACTGTGTACAACGTCATCAACTTAAAAGTGGTGATATAGATTCAGAAAATTATTGTGTTGTGATTCGAAAATTTGGGTCATACCATCACGTGATTGTTCGAAATCAATTCAAATTGAGTGATAGATAAGTTGGTATAAAAGTAAGGACTATATTAATCAATTTAGAAATAAACAAAGATGATTATATGTTAATAACCTTACACTGGACTTCTCACTTTTTTAAATGATTACTAGAGACAGAATGACAAACATTAATTGGAAATTTCATCCTGAGATTTTTTCTTTCAGAAAGAAACACAAAACTTTTACAGAAATGGTTGTCAGATGACCATGATTTTGTTGAAGTATCTACCTTTCAGTCTATTGTCAAGAAAGTGAGAGAAAATCAGATATGCATCATAATAGGATCCTGCAACTCGGGAAAAACAACAACCATGCGTCATATTGCCATCTTACTTCAAAATGATTTTGAAGTAATATCCGTTTCGGATCCAAGAGATGTTATCAATTTTGGAAACCATGATGATATTCAACTCTTCACTCTTGACGATTTTTTTAACAAGTTGACTGTGGAAAGAACAAATATGGAGAGGTTAGATTATTTAGAACGAAGCATCTTTTATGCTCTTGGTGAGAAGTCAAAACTTATTATGACGTGCGACATAGACACATATCAATTTATGAAATTAAATGGCTTTGTGTTCTGTCCCGAGTACGTAGTTGATTTAGACAGTGAAGAGTATCGAATGAACTTGGATGAAAGACAGCACATTCTTGCTAGACATCTCAAAAACCAAACAAAATCAAGAGCCATTGCCGAAAATTTGTCGCTGATACGAGATATTGAAGAGTATCCAGTTTTGTGTAACCTTTTCAGCAAAATAGACGAGGTTAAAGATTTTCATTCATTATTTTTTACACGTTGGCGAGAATGTATCTCGTATATATTAGATAAAATGAAAGAGGATCTTAGTTTGCAGTATGCAGTTCTTGTCCTATGCGTATTATGCAGCTCATTGATGCCAGAAAAGTTAGAAGAAGTAGTGAATGAAAAATATCAAGTCTTTCTTGATTGCAAAGTGAATCACAAAGTACATTATAGAGAAGTAGGAAAGACATTATCTGAATTACAGGGGAAGTTTGTTATGATAAATGACAAATCTGCCTATGTTGTAATTCATACTACCCTTGCCGAAGAGATAGTGCTTCACTATGGACGCGACTTCCCTTCGACGATCTTATCAAATATGAGCTATTGCTTTTTACAAAGATGCCTACAAAGAAAAACGCATGATACAAAGCATGAATTAACACTGGCCAACTGTATAAGTAATATAGACATTAAAAGCTCTACTACCGTATGTCATCGCCTGTTCTCAAGCATAGAAAAAGGGGATCTACATTCTGTATATAAGAGCAAATTGTTATGTAACAAGACGATAAGCAAAAGATTTGTTCAATTACTCCAAAAGAAACCATTTGAAAAAATCACACATATGTTTTTGTCACCGCAGCCCTGTTTGACAAACGTTGCCTCTCATGTTATTCAAGATTATGAGCCAGGACATCATTCAAAAAATCCATATCAGAAGATATTCCAATCAACGTCTCGTGACATTACTGAAGACATGCTTCTTGCCGATCAGACAAAGGGCTATGATAAGTGGACTCATAATGTCCGTGGTATCAGTTGGGTCATCTATTATGGTCAGGATGAGCTGCTAAAATCCATTTTGAAGATTGCAAATGAAAACGGTATGGATGCCAGGGCAGTCCTATTTATGGGAACTACAACCACTGAATCTGAAAAGGAAGCAAGCAGGTTACTGGTTCTTGCATGTTATGGGGGCAATGAAGATACTGTAAAAATCTTGGTATCACATTTTAAAGCTATAGACATAAACAAACATTCAAAGCAACCTTGTACATCTGATGACTATCACGCAGATACCCCTTTAACTGCTGCTTGTCGACGTGGACATTTCCCAGTGGTCAAACTATTGTTGAAAGCTGGAGCAAATGTCAACCAAGTTAATGCTTTCAACGAGTCACCTTTGTGTGCAGCCCTAGAATCTAAGAATATCATTCTAATCAAATTTCTACTTGAGAGAAAAGCATCCCAAAGTTGGTCTACATTAAGGCCTACGAAAGAACCAATAGACATTACTTTCCTTAATGAATTAAGAAATGAAAAGCAAGATGTCGATACGTTGCTGCAGATGGCCTCTAAATCTGGCAATGTTGGCACTGTCAAGTATCTTCTAGATGGCTTGACAGATAGTGATAAACATTATGAATATAAAACTTCGTCTTTACTTCTTGCTATCAAACATGGACAAAGAAAGATAGTTCAAATATTAATTGAAGCCGGTGCAGGATCAAAGTGCAATTCAGCTCTTAATGCTGCCATCGAAGAGGGAAACAATGATATTGCTTTGGATCTAATAAAGCATTATAAAGTTTGCAAAAGAATGAAATCTGACTTGTCACCCCTCGTTCAGGCAGCTAAATCGGGAAATGTTACAATTTTTAAAGAATTGTTTATCAACTGTTCGAAGGTGGAATGTTCATATATAGCTGAAAAAGTTCCATTGCAAGGAGTAATACTGAGAGGCCATGTCGACGTTGCACTCATGCTGATTAAGCATGGAGCATATGCTAGCAAGGAAAATGCAAGAGAATTTAATCCATTATACATCGCCTCAGAAAAAGGCTATTCATCTATTGTATTTGCTCTTATTCACTCAGGGGCGAAACCTAATGAGCGATTAAAAAGGGGAAATAAGGCTTTTCCTCTTTATATAGCTGCTAAGAATGGTCATACAAACGTTGTCAAAGTGTTACTTAAAGCAGGAGCAAACATGGAAATGAAAACTAATGAAGGCTTTACAGCTCTTAAGATAGCAATATTGGAAAACAAACCAGATGTTTCAAGATGTTTGGTCGATGCCGAAAATTTGAAGGAAAACTTGCGGGGAAACTATCACCTTTTTGAGACCTTGCAAAGCTTTAGAAGAGCACAGTTTCATCTAAACGAGTTTGACAACATCGTTCCAAAAAGAAAAATCAATTTTCTTGTGCAAAATAATGGGGACATGATGGAAAATATCATATGTAAAGATTACATACATCTCAGACATATGATAGATCTTGGATTAGACCCAAATGATAACTTAGCAATATATGAGGATTCTTCGAGAAATACGTATAAGAAATCATTGTTATCCCTTTTCATAGATAAATGGCTCAAATCAACACAGAGAATAAAGAAGATAGAACTATTAGCCCAACGAGGAGCTAAATTTAATTTCCAAGATCTTCGCCAAATGCCAAGTTGTGAGTGTGATTCCTCTTTTCTGGATGTGATGAATGAGATTCGATGTCATATCAGAAGAAACTCTTTTTAATTGAACATACATGTTCAGAAAAAATAGTGCGTTCTGCACAAGTAAATCCTTCAACAATTGGACACAATATTTGAAAAATGACTGTGTATAATGGGATTAATGCGTTCTAAAATACGTTTATCATATTGCACTAAATGAAATGATGCCCGCTCATGATCTTCACAATTCAAGACATTTGTCAATCATTTTTAATATTATTTTCAAAACCTTAATTTCTTGATGTACTGTGGACTTCATAAGAAGTTAAAAAAAATAAAACTGGGCAGAGAGAGACACACCCAGAGAGTTGATGTGTAATTTTAAAAAAATGATTGATAGGTTGTTTCCTAAAACCCTAAATGAGAAATCTACAAACGCTGCGGTCGCCCGCGTGGCGCAGTGGTTAGAGTGTTTGTTCTAGAGTCGCGAAGTAAGGAGTTGATCCTTACGTCGCGGGTTCGAATCCCACTGTTGGACGTGGAGACCGGTCCTTAGGATGAGACCGTATAAACTGAGGTCCCGTGTCGCAGTAGGTGCTGGCACGAAAAAGATCCCTCACTGCTCAATGGCCGTAATTGCCGAGTATAGGACAAAATTTGCAGCTCTCCACAGGCAAGTGGTGGCGTCTCCATATGAGTGAAAAATTCTCTCGAAAGAGGCACGTTAAACAACATACAAACAAACAAACGCTGCGACCGCATTTCCCAAGACCAGAAAGCCAGCTGAAGCAAACACCTCTTAAGTAGAATGAGCTTAACACAAACAGCCGTGTAGCAAACGCTAATTGTAATTGTAATAAGCTGTAATTGTGTATGTTTTCTTAGTCATTAAAAGAAATCATTAATTATTAAAAATTTGATTACATGTTACGTAATTTAATGATTACATATAAGTTTAACTTACATAATATATGTTAATTCTCTGTTACTATTTATCATTTATTTTTTAATTGAATTACGCTAGTATATGAAGGAAACATTTAGATGTTTTGAGAAGCCAAAACCTGTGATACAATATGACGTCATAGTACGCGACTCGACGTCAAAGTCAGCATGAATGTTTTACCAATATTTGTGTTTGAAGATTTAATTGAAGACGTGAAAATCTAAAGAATTGTACACACATAAATAGATACCAAGTATTTAAATATTTGTGTTATACATGCCTCTTGAGTTAAATAATCAGATCACTGACGTCATCAATGTTCGCCAACTATTGGAGGAATTAACATGAAGTGTAACACGAATTTGGTCAAGAAGGCATGTAAACAGATATGTAAACGGGAGTTAAGGAGCAAAAACGTGAATATTGCTTGTGATTTAAAAGGAATTGAAGTTTGTATGCTGTTTTATTTCATCAATTGTGAGAGATCTTAGTGTAGAAAATCAGTTGTTCATTTATCCTGGTCTGTTTTCCCTCTGTCATTCCGCACAACAAAAACGCAATAAATCAACTGTGCGGATACTTTGAAACTTATTTTTCTTTAGATCGAAATTACCCATTCTATAATACTTGGAAAGTACTGCTGGAATCATGGGTTAAAACAGTTTTGAGAAATTACCGAACTGTATGTATAAAATGCAAAACAGCAGGTAAAGTTTACATAGAATATTTGGAATAATTATTTTATTGACAGAACTAGAGGATTCTAGCAGCACTTTTTATGCATCATTTGACCTTTTTCAGTAATATTTTTTTAGTTACATAAATGACTAAACCCCAGAATACTGTTGTTCTGTTGACTTTTGGTTAAGGAATATTTTGCTATTGATAGCGTAGTAGAAGTGCATTGGTCATCAGACATTCTGAAGTATGTATACAGTTATAAATAATATTTTGTTTTACCGATGGCTTTGATAATTTGTAATAGTTACATTTTTTAAAAAAAGTTTTAGTTACCAATGAAATGAATTAATTAAATGCTTCCTTAAAATATTTGCGTTGGATTCAAAAATTCAAAATTTTTTTTTCATTTTTGTTAAGAGGTATACACAGGAAAGTATTTTGATGTCATGAAGTGCATTTTTAATATACTCTAATAGAATAAAAACTTATTCGTTAACATTAACACATACCTTGTTACGAAGTGAAAGCCGGTTAAACTTGACCTTTTGCACTAAGAATAAAATCTGAAATATTGATTGAAAGTACTGCTGTTTAAAAATATTATAAACATGACAGTATGATTTATTTAAATACATGTTTCAGAATAGTATTGATATATTATGTTTTCTTACATTCAAGCCATTTATTTTCTCTTTCTCTGTTTCATCTAAGAAAAATACTACAGTAAACTAAATTTAATTATAGTTTTCTATAGCTACATTGTAACCATAGTAAATAAAAGTTTCAAATTTATCACTATGGTAAATCAAAGTTATCAAAATTATCACTATAGTGTCATAGTGATCACTATAGTAATCAAAGTGTCAATGTAAGAACTATGGTAAATCAAAGTTTGATTTATCACAACTGTAGATAATGCCCTGTCATCTCAATTAATTGTTGATGTCTTGTATTTCAAATAATTCCATGCACATTTCAAGCAGAACAGTTTGTTTTAAATTTTATTTTTAGTGATTCTTTTTGAAACCTCATGTTTTTTCAATGACTGCTACTGGGTAAACATTTTAAAAATGAATATTGTATGTATTTTATTTGGCATTTTTTTATATTAGTAAATCACATTTCATTAATAGCATACAGTACATCAAACAAGATGTATCGAGTTATTATCTTATTTACAAGGATATGAAGTATATTAGATTGATAATCATAGTAAATCAAAGTTTTCAAAGCGATCAATAAAGTATTTCAAAGTTTTCATAGTTATCACTTTAGTAAATCAAAGTGTCAAAGTTATCACTATAGTTAATTATAGTTTTCCATTGTGTCAAAGTTATCACTATAGTCAACTATAGTGAACCATAATGAACTATAGTTAACTAAAGTGTTTTTTTTTTTTTTTTTTTTTTTTTTTTTTTTTTTTTTGTAAGGGATAATATGGCGTCGTTGATCACCCCAGGACTTTTAGATTAAAATTCTTGACAAGGGCAAATTTGAACTTGGGTTGTGACTTCAAGGGTTAAGACAAAAAGTAATGGTATGAACTGTGAATATCGGACTGGATAGTTCAGTCGTAAGAGCACCTGACAAGATTAAACCTCCGGATTCTTATCGTACATGTAGTGAGGACAAATGAATTTTGCTCTGCATTAATAATATAGGCCTTTTGCGTCTAGTGAAAGTAGTGAACGTTTTATTTGGAGGTCCATTGTATATATGTTTAAATTTTGTATTCTTCCTAATTTTGTTATTTGAACATTGTAAAAAATTAAACAATAAAAGGATGTTCGAGGTGTCGCATCGAGTGGGGCCATCTTTGTATATCAAAAAGTATTCAAAGATAGACAACACTGTCGTGGGATCACTGTTATTGTGAATGTGAGAGATAACTCTAGTGTGAGGTCTGATGCAGTAATAACTTTTATTCACGAGAAATGTGGTATTGGGTCTCTATGCCCGTGTGCTGAAGTTTGGATAATTTATATGATATTACACAATATCTGTTGGAAGGAATAAAGGTTAGAAATAAAGTTTTTCAGTGTAATGAACTTGTACAATCAACAATAATTGTCAGTTTTCTCCATCTACAAGGTAACATTATAGGTAAAAAAATAACAAACAAACACGGAATGCAGTGGAAGTTGAAATATTATCGCCTGGGAATTTACGATTTTTTTCCAGACACGACCTTAGCGGTTAGTACTAGATGTAAGAGTGAAACACCCTCCAATATGTTTTTGTTCCCGTATACAAATATGGATTGTTAGCTTTGGTATTTTCAAGTCTGATTAATGCAAACATACCAAAAAACGTGACTTAGGCCTAGCTTATCAGCGTCAAGGAAAACAATGTCTTGTAGCTTGACAAGATTAATCAGTCGCCAGTGTCCCGGTGTCCATGTTATGATGAATTTGCCTCACTGAAATCAAAGATATAATATTTAGCTAATTGTATGAAGTTTATTTTAATTTCTAATTTTTGAATATGAATCTTTGGATATGAAATTAAGTGGTCTGTCTTCATTTCTTTTCATATCAACATTCATTCAGCATTATATAACCCAACACTGTGCCGCTTCTTAAATCTTTCACCAATAAAATACCGCTTTTCACAAACACAGAAATGCCAGACAAGAATGTGCTCATCATTATTGATCATTATTCGCTTTTGCAAAATATTCCCTTAAAAAAGAGAACCCTTAAGCAGCCAAATTCAAAGTGTAACAGTCGCCCGCATGGCGCAGTGGTTAGAGCGTCTGCTCTAGAGTCGCGGAGTAAGGAGTTGATCCTTACGTCGCGGGTTCGAATCCCACTGTGGGACGTGGAGACCGGTCCTTCGGATGAGACCGTATAAACCGAGGTCCCGTGTCGCAGAAGGTGCTGACACGAAAAAGATCCCTCACTGCTCAATGCCGTAAGTGCCGAGTATAGGACAAAATTTGCAGCTCTCCACCGGCAAGTGGTGGCGTCTCCATACGAGTGAAAATTTCTCGAGAGGGACGTTAAACAGCAAACAAACAAAGTGTAACAGCTTTTCAAGCAGATATACATCTTGCGCAGCTTCGTCCTAATATACGACGGGCAGTAAGTGCAAACTTTATGCATTCCTGTCTGATTGGTATTTATTAGATATAAATAGCAACTTAAGACTCGCACAGCACGAAAAAAGGAGGGCAGTAAAGTGTTTTGCTATAGTCATTCTTCCTTTAGATGCCCCCCCCCCATTTGTTGTACGGTAGCACATTGGCAATTTCCAGGATTTGGACAGTAAATTAGCTTTTTTGCTTGTCAGGTAAATTTTAGAAATTGCCTCCCCCCCCCCCCCCTTAAATTTTGAAACCGTTGCTACGGACTTTACCTTAAAACAAACTTCACTGAAAAATGAAAAGGGTACAATGTAAGTACGTGATTTAATCTTCTGTAAAGCTCATCTGATTTTACAGAACTTGACCACGT